GGGAGGAGGGCGTTCGCAAGGCTATATTTTCCGCATTTTACAACATTTTGCGACGAAACTTTGGAATATTACTAATTTTGTGATGCTCTTTCAAGCTGTAATGAAATTTTTGTTGAGATCAAAATTTAGTCTATTACGCAAATGGTCAATTGGGCAAGTTGTCTTGCCACAGGGGGGGGGGGGGTGTGCGCCCCCCCCCCCCAGGCCTGGGAAGAGGGGGTGCAGGGTGCTATTTTTCATGATAAAGCAAAACAGACAAAATCAGATACAATAATTTGAGTAATAACGTGATGATAAGCGAACTGTAAACAACAATTACAATTCAAATACAGTAGTTGATGAGCGGGCGGCGCACATGACCGACACAATTCGGCACCAGAGCTGGCAGAGCACCCCCTCCTCCCCCACCAGATCATGCTGGATCCATCCCTGTTACACTGTACATATCACAGATGGCAAAAGAGGATTTGAAGGTTACCTTTGTTCCTTTTTGTAGAGTAAAGATGCTGGAGATTCAGACAGCGAAAAAGAGCAGGAAGAATTGGGGGAGATTGAAAACGTTCTAAAGAAACATGATCCGAGTTTTCTAGCGTAAGTAAACACAGGCAAAAATACATCTAAGTAAAGCCTAAAAGTAATTCTTCAATAAATCTGTTTTTGGCAAACACAATTCATACAGGGATGAAGATAAACTGCAAGTTATAGACCTTGAGAGCTACTATCAACTGTCAGTTGGAATTGAACGTGTACGGTTAGTATTTTTCACGCGGTATATGTATATCTCAAACTCAACTCATTAATAATTCTTGAGTAAATTAGTCGGCTATATTACTTTATTTTGCTGACATGCTAATATTGGATACCTGGTGAAGTATATTGATCCAGTCCTAGGACTGGGTCGAAATGATTTCAGTCCTTGGACCGGATCAAACTCTAAGTAGTGATTTATTCTCACTTTGAGTAGTGATTATTCTCACTTTAAGTAGTAATTTATTCGTACGAGATGTCATTCCAAATCTTCCAATGGACCATTTGCCATTTGCATTATAGACTAAATTTTGATCTAGACAAAAATTTCATCACAGCTTGAAAGAGCATCACAAAATTAGTAATATTCCAAAGTTTCGTTGCGAATTGTTGTAAAATGCAGATAATATAGCCTTGCGAAGTTTGCCGTTTTTCAGTCATTTTGTATTAATTACGCACGGGAAATTGACAGCCCAATCGGGTGTTGGGGCATCAATTTCCCGTTTGTAATACAAAATGACTGAAAATTGAAAATTTCGCAAGGCTATATTATCCGCATTTTACAACATTTCGCAACGAAACTTTGGAATATTACTAATTTTGTGATGTTCTTTCAAGCTGTGATGAAATTTTTGTCTAGACCAAAATTTAGTCTATAATGCAAATTGTCCATTCGGACTGGACTAGATTTCAAGTCCTCGCATTTTGACCCAGTCCTCCCCAATCAAATTGCTCGCACTTGAAAACTAGTCCAGTCTTCATAGTCGGATTTGAAATATTACAAGTACGACATTGATCGAATCAATGCATCACCAAGTTTGTTATGGGCTTTAGAAGTGAAAAACGAACAATAGATTCAAGAGGTTTAATTAGTTACAACCCTTCCTCTCTGGTATGGGATGAATGATCTGTTCTATTGATTTAGGGTGCCAGAAGTGATGTTTCAACCTTCAATGCTTGGCATGGAACAAGCTGGCCTGGCTGAAGTCATCGAGTTCATATTGAAGAAATATCCACCAGAAATTCAAAATACCTTAGTTCAGGTTAGAGTAGTTGGCTGAATCCTCTCTAGAGTGACTTACTTATAGTTTTATACAATATCATGCAAATTAAATATGTAGTAAATATTTGCCTAGAACGTGTTCGTAACCGGAGGAAACGCTCAGTATCCCAACTTTTGTTCGCGATTAGAGAGAGAATTATTGGCTGTTCGACCATTTCAGTCAACGTTCAAAGTTTATAGTGCAAGTAAGATATATACCGTGCATTTGGATATTCTGGGTAATTGGCATGAGGCACTCTGAAAATCTTAAATCCTAGCTAAGATCCGGACATTTGGATGACCCGTAATGGACTTCCTGCCAGGGAGAACAGTTTGGACAGAATTGATATAGCTATGCAGTATATAAGTGAAGTCAGTTTACTGAATGTAGTCCAGCCTTTGTTTTTTCCTGTGGTTACCATGGCCTAAAAAGAATGACCCTTGCAGGCTTGCACCTCTAATGAAAACAGTTTAGATCTGATAGCGCTATCCAGTGCAAAAGATAATTATTTAGCATAGAAGTAACCTCCTCTTATATAATGTTTAAAATCTTCTTAGGCAACTTCAGTCTGGATGCGTGGTTTGGAATGAGGCAATGGGCAAGGACGGTCCCAGATCTCACCAGTGTTTCAACAACGAGACAAGATTACCAAGAGAAAGGAGGAGAGTATCTTAAAGAACATCAATTTTCCAATCATTATATTCCTACGCCTGTTAATTTATAACGGAAATAAACAGATGAATCATTTGCAAGATGGTGTGAGGAAGTGTGTGGTTATATGCACTTGAGATAAGATTACGAAGAAAAAGGACAATACAGCGTGACGATGTCCTTACTTGACATGAGCAGGAGATAAGTTACTGAAGAAGGTTGAGTCCATACAGCATAGCCATAGCTTAGAAGTAAACTATAACAGCATTGCTGTTGTCATATGGTCGCGGTTCGGTTTCGTCAAGGCTGCGGTTTTTTTGCAGTCGATCACTGCTTTATCCAAGAATCTACTGATTCACAAGATATGTAGGTCAGATTATTTATGGGTGGTAATTTAAATGTTAACAAGGTACTGTATCCCAGCCAACAAGTTGTAACTATTCTGCTATCAAACCTGCTACAGGATGTGCTCTGTCCCAGGAATTGGATGTTGGTGTAAAAGCAATTGAATGTGGAACAAACCTTGTTCTATGCGACCACATACGACTATACCAAGTATTGCTAACATGTGAATAGTTAGGGTTAAATTGTGAATTAACAGAAAAAACGACCGGTGACTACCGGTAGCACCATGGATTGTAAAATCACGAAATTTCCTATCCAGTTATTTTACAGTCCATGATAGCACTTATAAATAATAAATTTAGCATACTTAATAGTCTGTCTGATCATAACAAAGATACAATGCATTTAATACTGCTGTGTAAATTATCAAGCCAATATTCTAGACTTAACTAGACATTGGCATACAATTTAATAGCAACAGTTTATTTTTCCATTCGAATGTAATGTTTGAACATTCAAACTTTGCACTTTGGCATTCATTCTTCAGCTACATGTAGAAACTGCAGCATTTTTAAAGCACAGCTGTTTACATATCGTTCTAATGTTGTTCTTATTAATCTCGTCGCAACGGAAAACTGACTTCACGAATTTCGTCTTTAGTTATCAAGTGTATAACTACAGCATCGCCTGTGTATATATCTCGCTCAGCTGCCGATGTGAAAACATCTTTAACAAGGGCGACAGCTTTTTCTTTGGTTAAAGGAGGAATCTCCGAAACCCGTTGCTGGTTTTTGTAACCAATCTGAATAAGAATTGATCAAAGAAACATTAGTGAAAGGTCTAGTTTCTTTGATCAAAGCACAGGCCCCCAAAAAAGCAAAGTTACCATGTAGAAGCCCGGTAGTAATGTGTTCTTACAGAAACCTGGAATATGCGCTCATACAAATTTCTGTATATATGTCCCGTTAAAAACCCCAAAACTATTTCTAGAGTAACTCATCTTCACAATTGATTAATTGTTGCCAACAATCAAACTGATTATTGAATCTTGTTAAAAATAATTAATTGTTGAAAAACATAAGAAATCAAACGAATCAGAAATAGCTTTACAAATTTCTAGTTGATAAAAACTAACCTGGTTATCCAAGAGAGGTTGTAATAACGAAGACGCAGAACCAGCTGCACGGTATATCTCTCGTTCATAAGAACCAACTGGATCAAAACTGAACACACATCCTTTCCCTGCAAGAAAATCATTTCAAATTCGTCAAGACTATATAATACATTCGAAATTTAAATGAATATCACAACAAATATTATTAAGCACCAGTGCCCTTCCCTTCATGCGTAAAATTGTCTGGAGTTCGACAGAGTAAAATACTAAAGTTCCTTTCCTCCCACAGGGAATGATGATAAGGTGGGTTAGGATAAACACGGTTGGGAAAGTAATATCACAATTGTTGTAAAAGATAAAATAGTCTAGGCTAAGTATGAAATTACTGTAGGTAAGTGTAATACTTGACGTAAAGTACATTTGATCATATTCACAAATGTCATGCAAATTTCCGCTATAGAAATCTTAATTATACCTTCAGCATCTACACCAGCGATGATGTTGTATGTGTAAAATGGGAAGAATCTTCGTGAATATAACATGGTTGATAACATCTGAGCAATAGCAGGACAGCTGAAAGGCAACAGAGTCTTGTGAAATTGTGTCACTCCACTGTGCTATCAGAGACAGAATTTAGCACACACTGGTTGATGTTTCCAACAGTTACAGTCCTTCATGTAAACACATGGGAATTTTTGACAATCTTGTGCCTTTTTAAGAGTACAAACATATTCTTTAATAGTGATTGACCGATTGTGCAACAATCGGAAATTACCGATTATTCATGCCACAATCTACCAGATACAGATTTTATAATGACGTCATAATATCAATCGACTGAGTAAAGGTGACGTCATTCATGTTGAATTTTTAACAATTTCTGTTAAAACCGTTAATAAATGGCACACTTCACACATTCATTTAAATATATTGCATTAAAATGCAATGTGTATCAACGTGCAATGCATATAATTTTTAAAGTGCGTATTTTCTCAACAATCGGTTTCAGACAATCGGAAATATAGATAATTCTACCGATTCCGATTGTCTTCTGATAAGGCAAAAATTTACCCGATGCCGATTATCAGCCAATCACTATTCTTTAAGTTGTGCTGTGTACATATAGTCTATGACAATAAACTCAGGCACAAACATTGTTACAAATTAAGACTTCATTTTTTTACTGATCTCACACTAAGTTTTATACCCTCGGACTGCAGTAAAATACCCACCTCATTCTTTTCCCATGTTCATGATAGTACATCTGTAAGTAGTAACAACATTAAATTTAATACATTAACCCATATAGTAGCAGCACTCTCCCCTTGACGAGAAAAATTGTTGTGTTTGAAAGTAAAATAGTAAAGTAGGGTTCATCAGGGCACAGGGTCTTAGCTAGGATTTTAGATCTTGGGCGTGTTTCTGAACGACCAGGGTGTGCACATGTCAATTACCTTGAATAGCCAAATTCACTGTTCTACAACAACGGACAATGCCTGTGGTTGTTTATATGCTTTGCAACCAAATACAAAGCGAGCATATACTCATATTGCGCACTGACATTAAAATATTAAGTTATTTCAGCAACTCTTGGGCTATTTAAAACCACTTTAACACCATACGGTTCCCATTATCCTTCAAAATATTAAAACATCACGGATCACTTTTGCCAATTTCAACAACAACAATAGATTTTACAAACTTTCTTATGACGTAAATAGAAAGATATTCTGTCTGTTATAAAGTAGCACCATCTTATTTTATGAACCTACACGGCCTTGTATAAATAGTGAAACCGTGCTCATTTTATCTAGCCGTTTTTTTCGATTTTTGGCCGCGATAACACGGCCAACACGGCCCTCTAGCTAAGACCCTGTCAGGGCACTTAACTTTAATACCACATAACATACAATACGTTTTGTGGAGAGAACTCACCTGAAGTCGTGCATTGATATGTTTGGTTAAAGTAAGACAATCACCATGAAAACCAGCACAACCGAGGACTGTGTCATCAGTTCTTAAAAATTATAACAACATGGATTCAATTTATGCAAATTTATCTAAACTATGGCCTATCGTTGCTTCTTTATTGCAAAATCATCTGTTCACTGCCCTTTGACATCCACATCCTCGATCTAAATCTGTCTATTCATACAATAATAACTTACAATTTATAATTTTTTGGACTTGTTCTTGAGTGAATTGAAAAGCCTTGACTAAGACGCGTATCAGAAGCTATCACTGCAAAATCATCGCCAGCAATTGCCAACACAGTTCTGGAAAAAAGATGGATTTATTGCAATTAATGTACTGTAAACTGGTTTGAAGGTCAAATTACACAGCACAACTTTTGCCTCGTAATGTGTAAGGTAGTGTGTGCCAACGTAGGTAAGTTGTGTGCTTGATCTACACAGTACAACTCAAGTTGTAAGTAGGTTGCATGCAAGGGTGGGTTGACCACAAAATTTTTGTAGTTCGCTATAACTACAGCTACTTCAAAAATATGTAGTCAGCTACAACTACTGCTACTTTTGAACAAAGGTAGTTCGCTACTGACTACAGCTACTGCTTAAAAAATGTAGCGAACTATTTCGCTATTTCGCTACTCTATATTTTTTAGTTTTACGGTATTTTAATAAGCATCCACTAGCTCAGGCTGTAATATAACCTATAACAAATCGACTTCGCTACTACCCACCCTTGGTTGCATGCAATAGTTTTGGGCAAAAGTTGTGTGTTATAAATCAGCCTTAATTTGTGCATGGTAATGCTGGATCGAGAAGGACCTAACAAGGTAGGCTAACCTGGATCCCATGTTAATAAATTTTAAATACACAATCAAAGGCCGTTGAGGCAGACTAACAGGGGCCGGTTGTATCAAAGGCGTTTAACTTAAACGGTGTTTAGCCAGCCAGCGTATAAATGTCTTATCCAGCGGATAGTTAAACGGCCGATAAAATTGCGTTGTACGAAGCCCGTTTAGTACCGCGTTTAACTATCCGTAGGATAACCTTTAGGATTTTCTTGAAATTTCTTACCTCTATGTCAGCTGTTGCTAGGCTTTTGTAAACTTTTGAAGCTTTATCTAACTTGTGAATTCCACTAAGCTTTTGCAATAAAGTTTGTTGTTGTTTTTATTTGGAGTTTGCTCGTCCATTCGTTGCTGCAAATCTATATCAAACTTTTCATTTTCACATTGTGCTGAGTTTCTCATTCACTTAAATTCACTTACGGATATTTCTTTAAAGATTTTTGGCTTCTTTATGCGAAGAGTCGAAGGCAATAGCAAAAACTGTGAGTTGTATTTGGCTTTTGTCAGTTGATTCAGTTTTATATTGTTTGAAATTTGTTCCTCGACCTTGCACTTTTGTTCAAAACAATTTTAAGAACATTTTGTCCCAAGTTTTGATTGGTTGATCAAAGCGATTAACGCGAGCGAACAATTTTTTTCGACTTTCGGCGTCTTGTTGTCTATTTTGTATACTTGTTGGCTTTCCAAAGTCATTGTTTGTTTTACAATGGCTAAAATTGGGAGTCTTACTGCTTGTTTTCAAACTATATAATAGAAGAAAAGAAGGAGAAAAAGCCAGAGTATATATATACTTAACATCTAAACATGACACTGGTGTGCGTAAATATAGCAAAGCCACGGAATTTAATACAAGTGAGCAAGTGACCTCAGTGTACCTCAAGACCAAGCCAGTTAAAAGTGAGTTTTTCATGTTTATTGGATTTAAAAAGATAACTCCTCCACATGATTGTGCATTTTTATAACTATCCCATGCTTTTTCATCCGAAATAATCATTGTTTTATCTTCAAACTCCGAGTTTATCCGAGTTTATTATTTACACGGTGGATAGGCAGAATTTAACCGGTGGATAGCCCTAAACGGGCTTGATACAACGCGATTTCTCAAGCGTTTAAATTTTATATGGCGGATAGCGAGTTAAACGGTGGTTAGCGAGTTAAACGCCTTTGATACAACCGGCCCCAGATATATAAGACCAAATGAAAGTGACAGAAAGAATTAGAACTGGGTACTATGCGAATTTTGCCACTTCACCCATTTGTTGTGTTTCTTTTGCGAAGTCAAAAGAACGAACGCATGCTCAAGCCCGATTTCCGGTTCTAAAAGGCCCGCTTTGCAGGCAACAGTGCACACAAAGCAGGCTGGCCATGTCCCATTGTTTAACTGCCCCACACTCAAGTATAAACCACAAAAAACTCAACGATCGCAACATCCGCGAGTCAAAAAAATATGCGTGGCTGGGACTCTGCACTCCTCAACGTAAAGTACACAGAGCTTATAAATTAACTGGACACAAGTATCTTTATATATCTTTTGTTCCAAAAAGACCAAAACGTTTATGCACATCACAAGTGTTGCACAAAACATTCTACCAACTATTCTGTTTAAGACTTTTTTAAAGCCACGTTAGCATCTGGATGACAGTAATGAATAGCAAAATAGCAAATATCATTTCACAGCTCACTACAGTCTATAATCAGGCAATCACAATCAGCAAGAATTTTCAAATAAACTCTAAAATTAACCGTTTAAAATCCAACTTACCCTCCATTAAAAGAGTAAGGATTAAAATGCACTTCTTTGGGAGCATTTTGGTAATATCCTTCGCACTCTAACATTTTTACAAAGCACAAAAAATTCTCCAAGAAACTAGCAAAACTTTCCTAACTTTGTAAAGCAAAAAACAAGATGGCCGACCACACAGGGACTTTTACGGACAATTGGGGACACAAATGATTTGGCGAAATTTCAAATGGATGAAATTTGAAAATGCTTGAAAGTCTTATTTTTTGTACTTTATTTAGTATTGTTGCTTTTATTAGGTCAACAACAAACTCTCAGACCGATTTCATTAAAGCTAGCGCAAGAATAAGGTAAATAACTCGAACATTAACACTTTTAAAGTGAATACCAAATTACCAAATTTGTGATAGTTCTAAGAAATTTCTTCGTGGCAAGTGGAAACATTCCTTCTTCTTTCAATTTATGACTTTTCTGCAACTTTTATTTACTCCTGTTGTAAAGCCAAATTTACAATGGTGAGTGAAGTGAATGTGTCATATTTTCTAACTTTATACCTATACTTAGTCTTGCTATTATTTATTTTCAGTTGTTTTATTCATTTTTCAAATCACTGGTTGGGAAAGATGTTATTATTGAACTAAAGAATGACCTGAGGTAGATCACAGTTTAATAAATGGAAACATGTGGTGAAAGGATGTTGTTGTTTCAAATAACTTTAATGACATTTTTCATTGTTTTCTAGTATTTGTGGTACATTGGATTCGGTCGATCAGGTAACGGGCGTCAACTAATGGATTTTGTCTAGCATTTGCAAACTCGTCCTATGATGATGGGGAGGGGACAAATGATCTAGCAAACAATCTGTAAAAGTACCAAACAATTGGCACGAAAACTGGAACTTTTCTCTTCAAATACGACATTGGCATCTCCGGGATGAGGTGGAGAGCCAAAGCAATCACATAATAAGTCATTGATTGCAGGTCAAAATCTATTTGTAGATGGTGTATTGTGTAATGCAGATTAAGGGGAGGGGGTGTAGGATGCACATACCATACATTACGGCAGCCCCTCCTCCATACACATAAAACATAGATGAACACTTATCAAACTATGTTGTGGTCTTCTCACCACTCAGGGGAATGTGTGTGTTTTAATATTAATATCAGCTTTTATCAGTCCCATACAACTCTTGAACTCTACCATATAAATTTTGTGATTGGCGTTATTTTTATCTTTTAGTTTCTAAACATTAAACTGACGGACATCAGTGTAACAGATTCGGAGAAATACCCACATATGGTAAGCAGGAGAGCTGAAACCATGGGGCCAGTTACCCCACTGCCCACACCCCCAATAGACAACCAAGCAGCCCCTAAGTAGTAAGATACATGTATCTCTTTTTCAGCTTTCAGTAAAGAACTGCTTCATCCGAGGTTCAGTTGTCAGATATGTGCAACTACCAGCTGAGGAAGTCGACACACAGTTGTTACAAGACGCCACTCGTAAAGAGGCTACCCAGACCAAGACCTAGTACTATAAATTGCATTTAAATATTTTGTGAGATAAACTGTTTTATATACAATACTTGTGTACAGCAGCCTAGGTTAAAGTCCAACCTTGTATCACAGAATACTACACAGAAGTCCATCTCCATTGTTTTTAGCGTAAGCTCTATTCGTCATGATTCGTCACTCAGCAAGTACCGTAAACAGAAGCAGTCCCCCTCCTGGAAATACTAAAAATGGCGTATGTCCAGGGGGGTGACTGCTTCTGTTTACGGTACTTGCTGAGTGACGAATCATGACGAATAGAGCTTACGCTAAAAACAATGGAGATGGACTTCTGTGTAGTATTCTGTGCTTGTATCCAGGGCTTCTACAGCTACAAGTGCAAAAGCCCTGGGTACGAGGTTCAAGTCTGGAAAGTGTCTGTCTGTCTGAGAGGTCTAGAAAAATTGTAGTTTGGTAAAAATCAGCAAAAAGGATGCAAAAATTTACATTGAAAAGTTCTGTGTTATTTTCTAAAAACACTAAAGCTGGAGTTACACAAGCAACAAAATTGCTGCAACTTGCAACAAAATCTGATTTCAACGCATGTTAAGTAGAAATGTCGACACATGTTGCCTTGTGATTTGTAATTTATGTGTAAACATTTTCAATTAACATGCGTTGAAATCATCGTTGCAGCAATTTTGTTGCTCGTGTAACTCCACCGTAACTGCATAGAACACTATAAGTTTATAAAACTGCATAGACCATTATAAGTCTATAACCTTTCCCACGGTTCATCCACGCAGATACAGCTTATCTGTCTCTAGCGGAGCCTATTGGCCTAGAGTATTTAAAGCCTTGGTGAAAGACTCTCACGAACTCTCATTCATGTTTTTGTTTGATACGGGCTTAATACTCGATAATCCCTCTGAACGACAAACATACAAACAAACGCGGCAAACAGACGGCCGATAATCCGTCAAGACAAACTACCTGTGAAGTTGTCTGCACAATAAACGAACTTGCGTGTATTGATTTTTGTCGTCAAGGGGTGAGGGGGCTGCCGCTCTATGAGTTAATATGACTTCCAGCCCATGGGTGTGGTTCACCCACCGAGTTGATTGCGCCCTACTTTATTATTTCGCCATGTCTAACACTCTAACTAACGCCAGACGATTTTCACGTTTTTGTCTTGATGGATGATCCGTCGTACGGACTTATGTCAACTAGTAAACGAACATTTGACTGGTTTTTTTTTGTGTATAAAATGTATAACTTGTGTGTTGTCAATAAAATTTGTATACATGATGTCATGTATTCGCACTAATTTCTTATCACGGTCTGTAGATATATAACAACAGAGAATTCAAAGAATTGTTTGCCTTGAGCGGATCTCGAAAGCACAGCTTCGCCAATGGCAATGCTGTTAATTTCATACACACATTTGTGGGCTGCGTATATGCTTCTGCCCATCCAGTGAGCTTCCAGGAGTATAATTTCTAGACAGTACTCAAATTTAGGACTATAACTTCTAGACAGCACAGCCAACAGTACAGGAATTAGCCTGAGTATCAGACTTTGTTTTAGGGAAAACAGCAGAAAGACCCTGGGGCCGAGGTTGGGAAAACAGCAGTGAATGAACCAATGAAACCGGATCTGATTTGCGATCTCGAAGTTTCACTAGCAGATGGTGAATCACTTCAACAGCAAATGAAACTACATATTTCAATCAATTTATTCTCCACCAATCACAAGACTTCTACAGTTTACATATAACCATAGTTAAAGTGCCCCTGTCACAAAATGAGAGTTTACATCATTAGAATCGTCTTGAAACGTAGATTATGAAAATACAAAACAGATTTAAAATTGAGCTTGTTTTCACAGAGTAATAAGGCAATGAAATTTGAAAATTTCAAATTTTAACGGCAAAAGTTTTTGAAACCGCGAAGCTGGGAAATTGGTAACTAATACGTCATAGTAGGAAGACATTGCCTTCTCGCCTAAGTGAAAAGTATATAAATACTAAGTGAGAATCACAATCAAGCTGGTCAAAATTCGATACAAATGTCTTCGTTGAGTTCAGATACGGAAAATAACAGTTACCAAAGCGATGACTGCCTGAAATTATATTCCTGGGCCGTATCAAATCGAGTGAAATCGATGAAAACACCAGCGAAGCGTGGTCAACGTCGTGCGCACAAATGATCGGC